GAATATGAAAACAGCCCAGACATTTATACTTCATCTCTCCACTACAAAAAGGTAAGTAAAATTACTGTAAATTACATTGAGTTCTATAAAATTACTGTCCAGTACATTACTGTAGTACTACAGGTTGCAGTACTCATATTGCAACCTGTCCACTACTTCAAAGACAACCGGACGGACGCTCATAAAATAATAATTTCGTAATTCAGGAGTTGCGGACAATTGGCCATACCATACACCCCCTTCCCCTTATTAGTCTGTTAATGAGAGGTTTTACTGTACTGTACTCACTAAATGCTTTTTGGTATATACATAAATATTATTTTGTTAATTAGTTTTCGCACATTTGTACTGTAAAAAAAAAAATTACTATGTGGTACTCATATTTTTTTTACTAAAACCACATATCTATATGTTGAAAAAAAAAATAAAAAAAATATCAAAATATTGGAAAAGCAGAAAAATTTTGAGTTGTAGCTCAGACATATTGGTATAAATTTATATGTTGACTTATAATAGACTTTCTGTTGACAAGTTGCACATGCTTGTGTACTTCATATGTGACACTTTTAATACATACTGCAGATACATCATTTTAAACTTTACACTTTGAACCATACAATGCAGTATACTGACTGCATGAGTGTGTCTTAAACTTATGCAAGTTAATCCCCCTTCAGGAAGTTCCTTAATCCTGGCGAGGGATTTTTGATTCAAGGAACTGGCCTTGTCCTCCTGTTCCTTGAATCAAATCCCAATATCTTCCCATTCCCCAAGTGATGTTTATATAACCCCCCTATGAGTTTAGAGCCTTCCTTAAATCTAAGGTAATTTTACTGATAAAAGTATTACTATATTATTATCAGTTTTAAAAAGTCCATTGATGTACAATAGTGTTAGTTATTATTTTTAACATTATTGAAAATTACTTGTTTACTTTATAATTTTCTTTTAAACCATAGTGTTGATTGATATAATTGTTATGGCATCTCTTACTGTTGAAGAACTCCCTCTTATGTAATAATGAAGAGTACAGTTAGCATTGTTCTTGTTCTGCAATTATGTAAAATTTTAACAACACAAGTCCCCTCAGGTAGATCTTTAAGGTGATTGGTTTTATTCCTCAGTTTTCGTTCAGTTTTGCACTTGTACTTTAAGTATCACAGGTCTTATGCTAATTTTGAATTTGTACTCTAATACTGAATATTTATGTTTCAAGAGGGATTGCTAAACCTGTAGGAGTCATATAGCACCTTAGGAATAGGGAATGGGAGGCAGTCAGATTTAATCCAAGGAAAGGAAAGAAGATTCCAGTTCCTTTGACCAAGATCCCTTCACTGTAATTAATTAAGGCATGTTCGTGGAAGGCTTTAATACTGCATAGTTTTGGGAAAACCTCACATCACATTTCCACTCAGTGTCCCCATTTTACATAGTAAGTACAGCACACTGACCTGGAGATGCTTAGTGGTTTAATCTTGGAATAGTCGAGGCAGTGGGATCATCATGGAAGTGCAGAATTTATCCAGTGGTTTGGGTAGATTTAACATTTGGCAGTAGATCATGTCATCATAGTTGGGTTATACTATTTAACATGTATTTACAAGAGTAACTAATAGTTTTAATGTAAAAAATGTTAGTGCCAATGGAATTACTGGTGTAAATGTCAGGGTTTAGAATAAGCAGTAGGTTCCAAATAATGAGTCTTACCATGCATCATCTAACTTGGATCTTTTTTGATGTGAATGTAGTGTACAGCCTCTCCTCACTTAGCGACGTACTTGTTTACCGACACCTCGGACTTACAACGGGCTCTGACCAGTATTTATACCTAAATAATATATATTACAGCTGATTTCCTCAATTCTGTTTATTAAAATATACAGTACACTGCTGTATAAACATTTAAAAATATACCAGAAATGTTATAAATGGTGTGAAGGTGGCATTAAAACAATATCAAAGGTGGTTGACACAAATCTACTATGATTATACTATGCTCCTCGTTGAGTGACGAATTCATTACCGACGGGGTCTTAGGTCCCTATCTCCGTCCTTAAGTGAGGAGAGGCTGAACATTAATAACTTAGCTCATATTGTACTTGAATTTTTGCCCAGTATATTTACTAATGTAAAAAATACAGTCAAACCTCATTTTTTGTATGCCCTAGTTTTTGTATGATTTGGTTTTCAACAACTTTTTTCGTCAAAATTTTGTCCCAGTTTTCGTACATCCACTCGGTTTTCGTACAGTTGAAAATGGTCTGTACCAAACTCATCCACCTTCCCGTGTGACTCAGCCACTCATTTCCCGGAATCGAGCACCCACACAAAGCATCCCATGCATTCGTGACTCAGCCTGCCTTTGTTTCTCATTGAGTGAGCATCACCCCGAGTGTTCATCTGCTTGTTTATTGAGTGCAATTGCTAAATAAGCCACCATGGGGCTAAAGAAAGTTCCGAGTGCCAGCTCTTTGATAAAGAAGGTGAGAAAAACAATAGAATTCAAGAAAGAACTCGTAGCAAAGTACGAAAGTGACGTACGCATGGCCGATCTCGCCAGGATGTACGGGAAGTCCACATCAATGATCAGTTCCATCCTGGTGAAGAAACAAGAAATCAAGGAAGCTGATGTTGCGAAAGGGGTAAATGTGCTAACAAAACAGAGATCGCAAACAGTTGAAGATATTGAGAAGTTGTTGTTGGTGTGGATCAACAAAAAACGGTTAGCAGGAGATAGTGTTTTGGAGGTGATAATTTGCGAAAAGGCAAGGCAGTTGCATGCGGATCTCGCAAAGAAAATGCCTGGAATGAGTGCTGCTATTAGTGAATTTAAAACCAGCAGAGGCTGGTTTGACAAATTCAAGAAGCGAACTGGCATACACAGTGTGGTAAGACATGGTGAGGCTGCAGGTTCAGACAAACATGGGGCTGAAGAATTTGTTGATGAATTCAAGGAGTACGTAGAGGCTGAGGGATTCCTCCCCAGTGAGTCTTCAGCTGTGACGAAACAAGCCTTTTTTGGAAGAAAATGTCAAAGAGGACCTACTTGACGCAGGAGGAAAAGGCATTGCCAAGACACAAGCCCATGAAGGATAGGCTAACTCTTGTTCTGTGGTAATGCTAATGGGGATTTCAAAGTGAAGCCTTTACTGGTGCATCACTCTGAAAATCCCCAAGTGTTCAAGAAAAACAATGTCATCAAGAGTAAATTGTGTGTGATGTGGAAGGCTGACAATAAGGCATGGGTCACGAGGCAAATTTTCATCGAGTGGGTCAATGAAGTATTTGGCCCGAGTGTGAAGAAATACCTCCTGGAAAATCAGTTGCCACTCAAGTGCCTCCTGGTAATGGACAATGCTCCTGCTCATCCTCCAGACTTGGAAGACCAATTGTTGGAGGAGTTTAGTTTCACCACAGTGAAGTTCTTTCCCCCTAATACCACTCTTGTCCAGCCCATGGACCAGTACGTCATTTCAAATTTCAAAAAACTCTACACCAAAGCACTGTTTCAAAGGTGCTTTGAAGTGACCTCGGACACTGAATTGACCCTAAGATAGTCCTGGAGGAATCACTTCAATATCCTCAATTGCATAAGCCTTATAGTTAAGGCTTAGTAGGGAGTGACTTCCAGGACGATGAACTCTGCTTGGAGAAAACTGTGGCCAGAATGTGTCCTGGAGAAGGATTTTGAAGGGTTTGAGGCTGACCCTGACGGCCTTACGTCTGTTGTGGAATCTACTGTGTCTTTGGGGAAGTCCATGGGGTTGGATGTGAGTGGCCAGGATGTGGAAGAGTTGGTGGATGACCACAGGGAAGAGCTAACCACTGAAGAGCTGCAAGACCTTCAACTGGAACAGCAACAGACCACAGCTGAGGAAATTACTTCAGAGGAGGAGAAAGAGAGAGGGGAGAATGTGCCTTCTTCAGTGATTAAGGACATGTGTACAAAGTGGAATGAGTTGCAGTGTTTTGTGGAGAAATATCACCCTAACAAAACTGTTGCAAGCCATGTTTGCAACATGTTCAGTGACAGTGTGTTGTCCCATTTTAGGCAAATCTTAAAGAGACGCCAAAAACAAACTTCTCTGGACAGATTTTTTTGTGCGACAGGGGTCCAGTGACTCAAGCTGGTCCTAGTGCCAGTAAAAGACAAAGAAGGGAAGTAACCCTGGATAGGCCCTTGATACCTGAATTCCTTATGGACAGGGATTCCCCTTCCAAACAATAACCTCTCCTCCTCTCTCTTCCCTCCTTGCCGTCTTCCATACACCAACAAGAGTCGTCAGTAAAGGTAAAAGTGATGTTAAATGTTCATTTATCCATTTTATTAATCATTTATATTCATTTCTCATTGTTTTCTGTATGTAAAACTATAGTTAGTCTCTACAAAATGTATTTTTTGTTAATATTTTTGGGTGTCTTCTGGAACAGATTAATTGGATTTACATTATTTCTTATGGGAAATATTGCTTCAGTTTTCTACGATTCGGTTTTCATCATACTTTTCTAACAGATTAATCACAAAAATCGAGGTTCCACTGTACTCATTTTCAGCTCATCATAGTATAAGTTCACTTTTATCTAACCAGCTTGATTTGTTTCTCACAGGTGAGTCTAGAGGTACATGTACCAAAGTTGCAGAAATCAGCAATGACTAACAGTTTAAAGATAGCTTTTATTTTGTGTACAACAAGATGATAAATTAACACTTTTGCAGTGTGCATATTAAAAGGTGACGTAGTCTGGTTTGCAGTATTGGTGTATGCTTAGTGGCTTGCTTTGTTTTTGCAATTTTCTGCTATAAATTTAGTTACTGATGCTCTTACAGCTTTTCTTACTAGCCAATTGTTTTGGTAGTTTGAGTTTTCATTGCTTATCAATTTTCAGATTTTTTTTACCGAATAATTACAGCATAGTTATGAAAACATTAAATATTTATAAAGCCATTGAAGTAATGCATATACAAAGGAAAATTTAATTGTCATGTATTTCTTACACAGGTGTTGCAGTCAGCCCGAGAGCAGCTCAAGTGGTCGTTGCTCAAGTGATGAACCCCACCCAGGAGTGATCTTAGATTTTCTTTAAGGATTGTTAATGGAGTTATGAACTCTTTATTAAAATAATACAAATTTTTTTTTTATGACATACCAGTAGGTTTCAGGTGGAATTATATATTAATAAAAATTAGCATGTTTTGTGAATTATTTTTAAATTCCTTCTCTTTTACGACATTTTATTATTTTATTATTTTATTTTATTTTATTTTTGTGGGTAAGGGGCTTGGACTTCCAGCAAGCGTGCGTGAGCGTGTTAGATAGGAGTGAATGGAGACGAATGGTACTTGGGACCTGACGATCTGTTGGAGTGTGAGCAGGGTAATATTTAGTGAAGGGATTCAGGGAAACCGGTTATTTTCATATAGTCGGACTTGAGTCCTGGAAATGGGAAGTACAATGCCTGCACTTTAAAGGAGGGGTTTGGGATATTGGCAGTTTGGAGGGATATGTTGTGTATCTTTATATGTTTATGCTTCTAGACTGTTGTATTCTGAGCACCTCTGCAAAAACAGTGATAATGTGCGAGTGTGGTGAAAGTGTTGAATGATGATGAAAGTATTTTCTTTTTGGGGATTTTCTTTCTTTTTTGGGTCACCCTGCCTCGGTGGGAGACGGCCGACTTGTTGAAAAAAAAAAAAAAAAAAAAAAAAAAATTTATATATTTATATATTTATATATTTATATATTGTGTATATTTATAATGAGTGTAAAACGAAGCCTGTGATTGTTTTACATGATGGTAGGATTGCTGATGTCTTTTGTCTGTCTCATAAATATGCAAGATTACAGGCATGTCCTGCTACTTCTACTTACACTTAGGTCACACTACACATACATGTACACATTTATTTATACACACTCATCTGAGTTTTTTTTTGATTTTATCTTAATAGTTCTTGGTCTTATTAATTTTCCTTTTATATCCATGGGGAAGTGGAATAAGAATCTTTCCTCCGTAAGCCATGCATGTTTTTAAAAGTCAACTAAAATGCCGGGAACAATGGGGTAGTAAAAACCCCTTTTCCTGTAAAAGATTACTAAAAAGAAAAAGAAGAAAATTGTCAAAGTGGAAGTCCTGAATGTGCGTGATGTTGTGCAGATGAAAAAGAAAGAGATGATTGTGGATGTTATGAATGAGAAGAAGCTGGATGTCCTGGCTTTAAGTGAAACAAAGCTGAAGGGGTGGGAGAGTTTTCAGTGGAGAGGAATAAAATGGGATTAGGTCCCGGGGTTTCAAAAAGAGTTAGAGCTAAAGAAGGAGTAGCAATAATGGGTTTAAGGATAAGCTATGGCAGGGAAAAAAGGAAATATAAATGTATTAATTCAAGGATTATGTGGAGTAAAATAAGATTGGAGTGAAAAGTGGGTTATAATAAGCGTGTATGGGACCTGGAGAAGAGAGAATGTAGAGGAGAAGAGAGATTTTGGGAAAAGTTGAGTAATGCGTGGGGGGTTTTGAATCAAGTGGAGAGTAATGGTGGTTGGGGATTTTAATGCTAAAGGTGGGTAAAATGTTATGGAGGGAGTAGTAGGTAAATTTGGGGTGCCAGGGGTAAATGTAAATGGGAGCCTTTAATTGAGCTATGTGTAGAAAGAAATTGGTAATAATAATACATATTTTATGAAAAAGAGTTTAAATAAATATACAAGGTATGATTTTAGAAACGTAATGAAAGTATTTATTAGATTAGAAATTGGTGGATAAAAGGTTGAGGGGTAGGCTCCGGAGTACTTTGTTTATAGGGGGGCAACTGATATAACGGATCTTTTATTTAGTTGTAGCTACAGTTAAGTAAGAGGTAGATGGGAAAACAGGAAGGTGGCAACAACAAGTAAGAGGGAGGTGAAAGTGTATAAACTGAGGGAGGAGGAAGTCGGGTGAGATATAAGCGACTATTGGCAAAAAGGGTGGGCTATTTGCAAAGATGAGTAGTGGGGGGGTTGAAGAGGGTTGGAATAGTTTTAAAAATGCAGTATTAGAATGTGGGGCAGAAGTTTGTGGTTATAGGAGGGTGGGGGCAGGGGGAAGAGGATGATTGGTGGAATGATGAAGTAAAGGGTGTGATAAAAGAGAAAAAGGTAGCTTATGAGAGGTTTTTACAAAGCAGAAGTGTTATAAGAAGAGCAGAGTATATGGAGAAAAAAAGGGTAAAGAGAGTGGTGAGAGAGTGCAAAAGGAGAGCAGATGATAGAGTGGGAGAGGCAACTGTCAAGAAATTTTAATGAAAATAAGAAAAAATTTTGGAGTGAGTTAAACAAGTTAAGAAAGCCTAGGAAAATATGGATTTTTCCAGTTTAAAAACAGAGTAGGGGAGTTAGTAGAAGGGGAGATGGAGGGATTGGGTAATGGCGAGAATATTTTGAGGAACTTTTAAAAGTTAAGGAAGAAACAGAGGGAGTAATTTCATGCACTGGTCAGGGGGGTATACCATCTTTTAGGAGTGAAGAAGAGCAGAATGTAAGTGTGGGGGAGGTACGTGAGGCATACTAAAAAGAAAGGGGGTAAAAACAGCTGGAACTGATGGGATCATGATAGAAATGTTAAAAGCAGGGGGGATATAGTGTTGGAAATGGTTGGTACTTTTGTTTAATAAATGTATGAAAGAGGGAAGGTACCTAGGGATTGGCAGAGAGCATGTATAGTCCCTTTATATAAAGGGAAAGGGGGACAAAGAGACTGTAAAAATTATAGAGGAATAAGCTTACTGAGTATACCAGGAAAAGTGTACGGTAGGGTTATAATTGAAAGAATTAGAGTAAGACAGAATGTAGGATTGCGGATGAGAAAGGGAGGTTTTAGAGTGGGTAGGGGATGTGTAGATCAGGTGTTTACATTGAAGCATATATGTGAACAGTATTTAGATAAAGATAGGGAAGTTTTATTGCATTTATGGATTTAGAAAAGGCATATGATAGAGTGGATAGAGGAGCAATGTGGCAGATGTTGCAAGTATATGGAATAGGTGGTAAGTTATTAAATGCTGTAAAGAGTTTTTATGAGGATAGTGAGGCTCAGGTTAGGGTGTGTAGAAGAGAGGGAGACTACTTCCGGTAAAAGTAGGTCTTAGACAGGGATGTGTAATGTCACCATGGTTGTTTAATATATTTATAGATGGGGTTGTAAGGAAGTAAATGCTAGGGTGTTTGGGAGAGGGGTGGGATTAAATTATGGGGAATCAAATTCAAAATGGGAATTGACACAGTTACTTTTTGCTGATGATACTGTGCTTATGGGAGATTCTAAAGAAAAATTGCAAAGGTTAGTGGATGATTTTTGGGAATGTGTGTAAAGGTAGAAAGTTGAAAGTGAACATAGAAAAGAGTAAGGTGATGAGGGTGTCAAATGATTTAGATAAAGAAAAATTGGATATCAAATTGGGAGGAGGAGTATGGAAGAAGTGAATGTTTTCAGATACTTGGGAGTTGACGTGTCGGCGGATGGATTTATGAAGGATGAGGTTAATCATAGAATTGATGAGGGAAAAAAGGTGAGTGGTGCGTTGAGGTATATGTGGAGTCAAAAAACGTTATCTATGGAGGCAAAGAAGGGAAATGTATGAAAGTATAGTAGTACCAACACTCTTATATGGGTGTGAAGCTTGGGTGGTAAATGCAGCAGCGAGGAGACGGTTGGAGGCAGCGGAGATGTCCTGTTTAAGGGCAATGTGTGGTGTAAATATTATGCAGAAAATTCGGGGTGTGGGAAATTAGGAGAAGGTGTGGAGTTAATAAAGTATTAGTCAGAGGGCAGAAGAGGGGTTGTTGAGGTGGTTTGGTCCCTTTAGAGAGAATGGATCACAGTAGAATGACATGGAAAGCATATAAATCTATAGGGGAAGGCAGGCGGGGTAGGGGTCGTCCTCGAAAGGGTTGGAGAGAGGGGGTAAAGGAGGTTTTGTGGGTAAGGGGCTTGGACTTCCAGCAAGCGTGCGTGAGCGTGTTAGATAGGAGTGAATGGAGACGAATGGGACTTGGGACCTGACGATCTGTTGGAGTGTGAGCAGGGGAATATTTAGTGAAGGATTCAGGGAAACCGGTTATTTTCATATAGTCGGACTTGAGTCCTGGAAATGGGAAGTACAATGCCTGCACTTTAAAGGAGGGGTTTGGGATATTGGCAGTTTGGAGGGATATGTTGTGTATCTTTATATGTTTATGCTTCTAGACTGTTGTATTCTGAGCACCTCTGCAAAAACAGTGATAATGTGCGAGTGTGGTGAAAGTGTTGAATGATGATGAAAGTATTTTCTTTTTGGGGATTTTCTTTCTTTTTTGGGTCACCCTGCCTCGGTGGGAGACGGCCGACTTGTTGAAAAAAAAAAAAAAAAAAAAAAAAAAATTTATAAAGCTAAACCTGCATGGGTCATTCAGGACTTCAAACTCACCTGAATAAGTTAAACTTTTCACATGTATGCTTATTGTTCTTTTAGAAAGGAGATTGGGGCCCCTGTTGAGGAATATAGTACATTCTTTCACATTGTCAAGAATGGCTATTTTTGTACCTAATGTGCAGAATATCAAGTTCTATATTATAAAAGGTATTTATTTAAACTATTATTATTATTACAGTCATAACAGTGCTAAATTTAAACTATTCTAATATCTGGCTATTAAGTATAAATTTCTTCATACATACTTTTATAATGCATCTTTCCATGTACATACCAAGTATTGCACAAAGTAATTCTTTGAAAAAGAGAGAAGCTCGAGGGAGGTATCTTGATGCCAGTGAAAGGCTGTTGCTCCAGTGGGCTTGTCCTCTTGTTAGTTGAATCGGATCTCATTGCCTCCTCTCCCGGGTGTCATATAACCTCTATGGGTTTAGTGCTTCCCAATAAAATATGCAAAAAAAAAAAAAAAAAAAAATCCTGAAGATTTAAGAGCAGTTTTTTGTTGTCCCCTCAATGGATGTGCCTTCATGCCATAAGGAGCTGTGATTCAACCCCTGCAACCACATTTTGAACAAAATGCTATGGTTTGCTTTCAGTTTAGGGGTTGTGCATAAAAGTAAAAAAAAAAACTTGCATCATGAAAAAACATTCAAATAATCTAGGCCAGAGCTTCTGAAAGTGGTCCATGGACCACTGTCTAAAGCACCAATACCTGGTTAGCAGTGTCACTGGTATACAGGAAAGAAAATAGCCCATTTTTGGAAGAATAATGCTGATATGTCACAGTGCCAAAGCTCACATATTTCCAAGTGAATTCAAGATCATGGAGATATTTGGGTCACACTACAGCATAAACATGAAAATGAGACACTTGGACAAGCTCCAGTCACATGTGGCCAACAGACCTCGAAAGCAGAATTTTCTGGATAGGTATACACAGATTCTTCCACCAGATGAGCATGTGACCTGTGTTATGTATGCATCTGCCTGCTATCAAATCTGAGAATGTAAGTATTAATTTAAAATTAAAATACAAAATAATCATTGTAACAATGAATTAATGTACTATTTATTTCAAATTATAATTATTATACATAATAATAATAAACTAAACTGCAAGGGTTATACAGCTCAAATTATAATAAGTTTAAATTCTGATAAATTGTGTAAAAATGTAACTTTTTTGAATCATGATACCCAAATCTATTTGACTTTTATCCAACTATAAAAAGATGTTTGTGTGTTTGACTTGGTGTATGTAAGAAGCACTTAGAAATTGGCTTACACTTACACGGCTTATCTTAATGTACCGTAAAATTAAAGAGTACATTAACGTGACTGCCAATCCATTTTACATTACTGGGTACTAAATTAGGGTACGTCAGTAAAATCAAGTTTTAACCATAAACAATATATGTGAAGTGTCACATGTATTGTTTGTTTTAATAAGTTTCACAAATCTGCAGCAACCATTGCCAATGCAGAAGACTTTGATGCAACATCTCTAAACACCCAGCAAATTTAGCTAAGCATTCTAAGTTCTACTTTCCAGTAGATGATACATGGAAAGTAACTAGATGGATAGAAAACCCATTTACTGTGGAAGAAAAATTACTGGAGCTGGCTGCTGACGAAGGATTGAAGACGGAGTTTTGAAGCTGTAGCATCACTTGCTTCCTTTTTGATTACCCTGCTGGGTTTTTTTGCTTAGTTTTGATTATAACAATTCCTTTTGGATTAAAGTAAAAGCAGAATATCCTGAACTTGCTGAAAATTCTCCGAAAGCTTCCCCCCCCCCCCCCATTTTCCTCAATACAGTATCTTTCTCAACCATGAATGTCATTAAGACCAGTAGAGGAACAGTATGTACATCTGATCTCGCGTGTTAGTGTCACTTATCTCAATGGGGTCACTGTTTGATAAGCTGGTAAATAGGAAGCAGGCTCACCTGTTGCACTAATAACAGTAAGCTGTAATTTTTTTTTTTTTTAAGTCGGCCGTCTCCCACCGAGGCAAAGTGACCCAAAAAGAAGGAAAATCCCCAAAAAGAAAATACTTTCATCATCATTCAACACCTTCACCTCACTCACACTTAATCACTGTGTTTGCAGGTGTTCAGAATACAACAGTTTAGAAGCATGTACCTACAAAGATACACAACATATCCCTCCAAACTGCTAATATCCCAAACCCCTCCTTCAAAGTGCAAGCATTGTACTTCCCATTTCCAGGACTCAAGTCCGGCTATATAAAACTAACCGGTTTCCCTGAATTTTTTTTTTTTTTTTTTTTTTCAACAAGTCGGCCGTCTCCCTGAATCCCTTCACTAAATATTACCCTGCTCACACTCCAACAGATTGTCAGGTTCCAAATACCATTTGTCTCCATTCACTCTTATCAAACACGCTCATGCATGCCTGCTGGAAGTCCAAGCCCCTCGCCCACAAAACCTCCCTTACCTCTTCCTTCCAACCTTTTCGAGGACGACCCCTACCCCGCCTTCCTTCCCCTACAGATTTATACGCTCTCCATGTCATTCTACTTTGATCCATTCTCTCTAAATGACCACACCACCTCAACAACCCCTCTTCAGCCCTCTAATACTTTTATTAACTCCACACCTCCTCCTAATTTCCACACTCCGAATTTTCTGCATAATATTTACACCACACATTGCCCTTAGACAGGACACCTCCACAACCTCCAACCGCCGCCTCGCTGCTGCATTCACAACCCAAGCTTCACACCCATATAAGTGTTGGTACTACTATACTTTCATACATTCCCTTCTTTGCCTCCATAGATAATGTTTTTTGTCTCCAAATATACCTCAACGCACCACTCGCCTTTTTCCCTCATCAATTCTATGATTAACCTCATCCTTCATAAATCCATCCGCCGACACGTCAACTCCCAAGTATCTGAAAACATTCCTCCTCCCCAATTTAATATCCAATTTTTCTTTATCTAAATCATTTGATACCCTCATCATGACCTTACTCTTTTACTATGTTCACTTTCAACTTTCTACCTTTACACACACTCCCAAACTCATCCACTAACCTTTGCAATTTTTCTTTAGAATCTCCCATAAGCACAGTATCATCAGCAAAAAGTAACTGTGTCAATTCCCATTTTGTATTTAATTCCCCATAATTTAATCCCACCCCTCTCCTGAACACCCTAGCATTTACTTCTTTTACAACCCCATCTATAAATATATTAAATAACCATGATGACATTACACATCCCTGTCTAAGACCTACTTTTACCAGGAAGTAGTCTCCCTCTCTTCTACACACCCTAACCTGAGCCTCACTATCCTCATAAAAACTCTTTACAACATTTAGTAACTTACCACCTATTCCATATACTTGCAACATCTGCCACATTGTTCCCCTATCCACTCTATCATATGCTTATTTAATAAATATTAGTAAAGATTATTTGTTTGTTTTCCATAACTGAATTTCAGTAATATCTTTTAGTATTTTCTATTAAAAATATATTTTTGCAATTTATCGCATTTTTAATATACCTAAGATGGCAACCTACAATGGACGCTGGCACAACGGAAAAATTTATGATCTGCCATATTAGAAAGTTTGAGAAGCACTAATGTAAGTTTTTCATGGTAGGCCCATCAGTAAAATGGATAATTGAAGTATCCATAAATTAGGAAACTCACAAATTTCAGGGTTCAACTGAACATAATTTTAGGTTAGATCAACAAACTGACAAGACCAAGGAAGTTTACCTTGTGCAAGTACACGAATCAATACTTCTTGGGCTGTATAGCCCTTGTGGCTTAGCGCTTCTTTTTGATTATAATAATAATAATAATACTTCTTGGTAGTAAATACTGGACAATTAACAGTCCTATGTGGTGAACATACAACATTCTGTAGTTTCTAAACCTGGTATTTTTTTTAAGGGGATGGGATGCAAGGCTGCTAAGTTAAGTGTTGCAGAACATAGTGTAAGGGATCCTAGCTTTCAGTAACTTGCTATGTTTGTTACCTAGTTAGTTTTCTATGGAAATAAGAGCTGTTTACATAGCATCTTTTCTTATTTTCCCAGTCACCAGATACTTGAAGTTTACCCTCTATAAATTATTTCCTGCATCACTAAATATTTTCAAGAAAAATTCCACTCATTATTTAAACTCTCAAGACATAAGGACATAACTATAACAAAATTAGAGAATAATTTTTTATACCACATTTTACCCAGGTTAAACACACCTGAATTTCAGTTTTTAATACCAATTAGCAATAAGAAAGATAACTAAACCTATTTGAAAGTTTTACTGTTTTATTCTTCCCCAATATAAATGTAAATATCTTAAAAAAAAATAATTTTTGTACTACATTTTTCAACAGTTTATGCTTCTCTAACAGAGGTAGAGAGAGAACCAGTGAGCAGTACCTTACGAGGACTGCTAGCAGCTTCACTATGTACAGGAGGGACCCACATATACAGCACCTTTTCAGTGTTCTATGTTTTTGTTGGCTTCAATTTCAGCCACCATTCATTATGTTCCACCTGCTGGCAATAGTCACTGGTGGGTGGGACAACGGCTAAATTGAAAGCCAACAAAAATGTGGAACACTGAAAATAAACACTATATGAGGGAGGCCCCTTCAGTACACTTGAAAAAAAAAATGACTTTGCTGCAAGCCATAATCATTAACCAGCTGTTACAAATATAATTTATATTCTTTCAGAATACAAAAATGCCTGAAAGTTAATAGTGCAAAAGCTCCACCTCTACTCCAAACTACAATCATAATATAGTAAAAAATAAATAAATCATCTAAATAAATACTTCACCTACATAAAAATTCCTATGTTGTATGTAAATACAACACCACATACAGAATGTATTTTACAAACACTGTTTTACAATGCAGCAAAAAAAGCATCGCATGTTGGTTGTGGTCTTGAAGAGGCTTATTTAGTGAAATGGTCTAAGATTTTATCTTATGTGGCATTTTATTTACATAATCATTTGAACTTGGTGCTACTGAACATTTCATGTGCAGTATTCTGCTGAAAAATTTTAATCTAGATAAATAAGAGTACTCCAATGGATTTTTTTTTTTTACATTCAGAAGATTTTCTTTTGTGTCTTTCAATAAAAGATATGTGAAAAAAAGAAAACTAACATTCCACTAGATACTCAGCCTCACTCCATACAGCTGCTGCTGCACCATGATAAAATATGTGTACTGTATATAAATGATTAATATATAAAATCTGCTTAGCAAAAAAAAAATAAAAATTTGTGAAAATTGAAATTAACAGCTGACAGATTGCAGTGGCACAAAATAAAAATATTAATTTGTCATTAGTAACACAACTATACACACTTACTGAGTAGATTCGGGAATCTAGTCGACATCCCAGACAACACCTTAAAGTTTGCTCTATATCATTTCCCTCTCGAGCATGATCCTCTGCCCCTCCTCTGTTTCAGTTTCATTTCAAAACTTATACAGCTCCGCTATAATTGTGTGTAACTTTTGAATAATAATTTTATATTTTCTGGTGAAAGTAACTTAAAACTACAAAAAAAATTCATCAGTATTTATTTAGTACTGTAGTTTCCAAAACACTGATTGGACTACCTTACTAAAGTTTTATGTATATAATTTACAGTAAACAAAATCATTATAATGCACTTGTTAACATATCACTGCATTCATTTGTAAAATGTTCATTTACAATAAGTCTCACACAAGTTTAAATCCACCGGAATCTTAAAAAGTCACTTCGCATAGAAAATACACTTGTGCACTACCAGTTAAATGTCTCTCGAGCACACCAATAAATTTTACACAGAAATTAGCTGGTGTAAATAACAAACTGTTGGTCGTCTGGTGAGGGCATCTCAACCTGCACGTACTGCTGGGTTGAGTTATACTCGGCTTCATATTGTGGGGTTGTACTGGCAGCTGCTCGCATGTTGTTTCTGCAGAAAGGAAACACACTATGTAACCATTTTTCATAACACACTGGCCATTTCTCATCAATGCAGGGTCACCCAAACAAGGCAACATTAATCATCACTCATTCTTTGTTATTTTAGAAGTGTAAGGATATCATATATTGCCCTCTGAAAAATTACATCCCTACCCATCCTTCAAAGTGTAGACACTGTACTTCTCATGTCCAGAGGTCAAGTCCAGATAACAGTTTTCCCTATCTCACTTCATAGATATTACCTTGCTAATACAACAGCATGTCAAATACTGACAACCCTTCGTTTCGCCTCACTCAATAAGGCATGGGTCACGAGGCAAATTTTCACTGAGTGGGTCAATGAAGTGTTTGGCCCGAGTGTGAAGAAATACTTTAACAAGCTCACACACAAAAATTATTTACAGTAGAACAAATATTGAACAGATTTTGAAGAGTACAGTAACTGTTGCAAAGCCCAGAGTATGCACAGCATTTGAACAAAACACAATTTTCAAGTTTATAAAATATTCAGTCTAGATAATAACGTACAGTGGAACCTCAAATATCGAACTTTCTTCGGTCCAGAAGGCTGTTCGAGTGCCTTTACCGAAGGAATTTATTCCCATCAGGAATAATGTAAATTAGATTAGTCCATTTCAGACCCTCAAAAATACACTTATAAAAGCACTTACAAAAATACACTTACATAATTGGTTGTGTTGGGAGCAGTTCGATTTTTGAGGTTCCACTGTACTCAGTAGAGATCAGGTTAAATATTTTCTTGAAGTTATATTCTATATAGGAACTTAGTATTAATAGCAAAGACACCGAGCATCATAAATGATGTAATCATAAACACCAAAAAAAAAAAAAAAAAAAAAAAATATCAGCAATGTCAATGAAATACTAATAATAATATGGTGTATAGATAGTATTCAAACTTGGGATGGGTTACAAGTGCAAATGTTGTTATACACCTGAAAATATAGTTTGTGATAGTGAATTTGAATTTATACATATAATGATGATAATAATAATTAAACATTAATAGTAAATTTATCCACAAAAGCAAAGAGGGGAATGTTATACCAATGCTCTTGTATGGGTGTGAGGCATGGGTTGCAAGGGTTGCAACAAGGAGAAGGTTGGAGGTAGTGGAGATGTCGTGTCTGAGGGCAATGTGTGGTGTGAATATAATGCATAAAATCTAGTTTGGAGATTAGGAGGAAGTGTGGGATTACTAAAACTATTATCCAGAGGGCTGAGGAGGGGTTACCGAGATGGTTTGGACATACAGAGAGGATGGAACGAAATAGAATGACTTCAAGAATGTATAAATCTGTAGTGGAGGGAAGACGGGATAGGGGTCAGCCTAGGAAAAGTTGGAGGGAGTGGGTAAAGGAGGTTTTGTGTGCAAGGGGCTTGGACTTCCAGCAAGCATGCGTGAGCGTGTTGGAGTGTAAGGAAGGTAACATTTATGAAGGGATTCAGGGAAACTGGCAGGCCAGACCTGATTCTTGGAGATGGGAAGTACAGTGCCAGCACTCTGAGGGAGGGGTGTTAATGTTGCAGTTTTATAACTGTAGTGTAAGCATGCCTCTGGCAAGACAGTGATGGAGTGAATGATGATGAAAGTTTTTCTTTTTTTGGGCCATCCTGCTTTGGTGGGAAACAGTTGATGTGTTAATAAAAAAAATAATAACAGTAAATTAAAAGCACAGTACACAATTTATGTTGAAAATATTTTATAAACTATAAAAATAAATTGTGTAGAATAAGAGTAATAATAATAAGGCACATTATTTATATGGAGCTTTTCTAGTAAGTCACTGATGTGAAGGAAGGTCTAGACTGTTGCCTTCCCCCCTTGCAAACAGCAATGTTTATTGCTCAGAGGAGAGAACCTAGTGTATATAACACTGTTAGCAAATAGCAGTCCTGGACACTTCCTATACACAGGGTGCACATAGTCACTGCTAGTCCTGTCCTATGGCGATTTTTTGCTAACTTCCTAACGTGACATATGAGAGGAAGACAAGTCTATGGAGTCCCCAGGTCTACCTGAAGTTAACCTGATGACAGCTTCCTCTGTCAAGACCCCTGTTGAGCTGTTCCAGACCAGGCCTTCCCAGGTTGTGTGGGTCCATCTCTTAAAGTGTGTCAGAAGCAAAACAAGCTAAATTACAACTATTCCCTGTCTAAATGATTTCTAAGATTTACAGTGGGGACCTCTGGTATGCTTTATAGCATTCCACTAATGCTGCAGTTTTCAATTATACCCATTCACTTATTCAGACTTCCTACAATAAATATATTCACCACTCACTATCAACTAAGGACAAAAATATTTTAAGGTAATGTGTGTGCTGTATATGCTTTTTTTTTAGGCCTTGCTCACTTAATATATGATAGTATAAATATGTTATCAGGCTTTTTTATGTACCTTTGATATACCTTTGAAGAATTTCAAGAGTATATCTACTCTCTGAGCCCGGCCACGGGCCAGGCTCGCCTGGTCAACCAGGCTGTTGCTGCTGGAGGGCCGCTGCCCCACATATCCATCACAGCCTGGTTGATCTGGCACCTGGTAAAGATACTTGTCTAGTTTCCTCTTGAAGGCTTCAACACTTATTCCAGCAGTGTTTCTGATATCTTCTGGTAAGATGTTGAAAAGTCTGGGACCCCAGATGTTGATACAGTGTTCCCTTATTGTCCCCACCGCACCCCTGCTCCTCGCTGGGTTTATTTTACACTTCCTCCCATATCTCTCACTCCAGTATGTTGTTATGGCAGTGTGCAGATTTGGGACCAAGCCCTCAAGTACCTTCCAGGTATATATTATCATGTACCTCTCTCTCCTCCACTCCAATGAGTACATGTTCAAGACCTGCAGGCATTCCCAGTAGTTTAGGTGCTTTACTGGCTCAATGTGAGCCGTAAACGATCTCTGTATTTGTTCCAGCTCCGATATTTCTCCTGCCCCGAAGGGGGCTGTCAGCACTGAGCAATATTCTAAGTGAGGGAGCACTAGCGATTTGAAGAGTGTCACCATCGGCATTGTTTCCCTTGTTTTGAAAGTTCTCAATACCCACCCAGTCATCTTCCTGGCTGTCGTGATCTTTGTCTTGTTATGGTCTTTAAACAAGACAAAGATCACGACAGCCAGGAAAATGACTGGGTGGGTATTGAGAACTTTCAAAAACAAGGGAAACAATGCCAATGGTGATACTCTTCAAATCGCTAGTGCTCCCTCACTTAGAATATTGCTCAGTGTTGACGGCCCCGTTCAGGGCAGGAGAAATATCGGAGCTGGAACAAATACAGAGATCGTTTACGGCCTACATTGAGCCAGTAAAGCACCTAAACTACTGGGAACGCCTGCAAGTCTTGAACATGTACTCATTGGAGCGGAGGAGAGAGAGGTACATGAAAGTGAAAAAAAGGCTGTTTCACTTTACAGTGATTTTCATTTTACAGCAGCAGCCCAGAATCTAATCTGCAATATAAGTGGGGCCCACCTGTACAATGATATAATTAAGAGTTTTTTAACCACAACAGCTATTTCCTGATAAGACAGGGTGACCCAAAAACATTCAATCACCATATTCAATAGTTGTTATGCCAAAAGTGCACAGACATCTCAATTCAAATGACAACATTCCCACCCCTCTTTCCAAGTGCAGGCAATGTACTCTCCACCTCCAGGACTCAAGTCCTATTAACAAATATATTGATACTAATCCCATTGTTCTCTTGATAATGACACAGAGGAGACTGAGAAGGTAGTTTAAGTAATGCAAAATAGGAGTACTAAAATGCATTAGATAATGATTACAAAAAAATTAATCACAGCATTGGCTACCAACACCCAATACAGGCTTCCCTTGCTTCCTCTGGGTTCACATTATACAACTGAGTTATGCAAACTCCCATTTCTATTGGTAATTCCATATGTATTATACAATAAAGTCACCATATTCAATTGGTACATTTCACAAAACAGGGTAATGATTTTTATTACAGTATTTGGAATAACTGTTCCATGACATGGAACATATCTTCTGCATAAAGTGAGACACACTCGAGCATAATCTGCTAGTTCACTGGCATTACACGGTACACATTGTTTACACTTTTCACATTTTTTAATTTACAACACTCTGGAAAACTTACTTCGCTTTGGCATGAGTGAGGATATGTGATTTAAGGTTGGTACTCTGAGCAAATTTCTTATTACATCCATCAAATGGACAAACATAAGGTCGATCTCCCGTGTGAATTCGTACATGAGTTCGGAGATTGAAATCCAATGAAAACCTCTTGCCACAGCCCTCAAACGTACACTGAAAAATAAAAATTGTGTCAGTGAGCAAATTTAAAACTAAACCCACTTGTTCAGCAATGAAACAAGTTTCAAGAGATATATACCACATAAACTACCATGAGTGTATTTACTTGAAAAGGCTTTTCTCCAGTGTGAACAAGCTGATGCCTTTTGAGTTTCGAAGATTCGACAAAAGCTTTACCACATTCTGCACATACGTGTACCCTAGGGCCATGAGTGTGTAAGTGTTTTCGCATGGCAGAGTTGTCACGAAACATCTTATTGCAACCCTGGTGGAAGAAAAACACATTTATATACATTATTAAATAAGAAATTATAAACAAATGAACTTTACTGACATTACACTTACCTACACAGTGGATGAGCCACAGCTAGTGGGATGTCTGGCAAACTGAAAAATGATCTAGCCAAAAATCGACGTACATACCAAATAGAATATTTCAAGTACAATATTTACAGTGTTATGTCAGTACAGGCAGGGGATCCTTTACAAGTTGCAGTCTATAAGGATAAAAGTACATAGCTGGATATTACATGGCAACTGGTAGCAAAAAGTAGCATGTAGCTTTATCAGATGGACAGATGACATAAATGGTCTTCAGCCATCTTTTAATAGCTTGTACACCTTCAAACCAAATTCATCCCAACCCAAGCACCCCATCTCATCAAATTTTTAATTGAAAACAAAAATTAACATCCAAAATACACCATATTAAATGAATAAAAATAAATTCTCCATTTGGCTGAAGTTAACAAACATGGGAATTACTTAGTCTTAGCAGAAAAAATAAACAGCTGAGTGAGACATCTAGTTTTGCATTTTACTCATGAGCAATTTGAAGAGACAGAGTGGTTGAGTGCCAGGCACATGTCATACTGACTGCTGAGGTGGTTCTTATAATGTATTTAGTTATGCTCACAAGAGTGGTAAGTAGTAATGAAAAGGACAAGGGTATCAAGTACGTGTACTTGAAGTGACAGCTCTGGGAGTTAATATAATATTTGTTTACCAAATGCTCAATTCACCCCAGGGAGTGCATGCATCCCCCAGTTAAAAAAGTGTTCTAATAGAAACCACATAAAAGTTATATGTTGTTGTATATTTACAATACATAAAAAGCACAGAATCTTTGAGATTTATAACAAGGTTACAATTTAACACAAACTATACAAACCTTGTGTGGACAGGCAATTGTTCTAGCAATGTCATCACTGCTAGATTTCTTTGGCTTTATCTTGGCAAATTCTGCTAGTTGTTTAGGGTCGGAGAGGTCAACTCCAGGTATACCCGCCAACTTCTTGTTAGAACCAGCCATATACTCTGTATAGTCTGGATCTGGCTCTGGATTACTGAGATCATCTGAAAATTAAAAAAACTGTATTAATTTAACCTGTCAGTCTTCAAGACAGAAAGACAAACTAGAAAACTATCTATTCCACAAAAATAATAATTTTTAAAATACAGTAATACCAAACAATACCAAATTCTATTATTAGTATTATTACTATGGTATTTTAGTCACAGGGAAGTACTAAACCAAAAGGTGTCATATACCACGTGAAGAATGAAAGGTAATGAGGATGAAGACAAGGATGACTTTAGTCAGATGAGCTACCTCAGAGGGGTAGCTCATCTGAATAGTCATCTGAATTTTCACTGACGTCCTATAAACATCCTCCACCCTAGGATACAAGCCACAACATTTGCTTGACTCTCAGATATCTATTGCCAGGTAACGGGCCAGTTTGATCCTAGGAAGAGCTTTCAGTTCTCTAGACACTCTTGCAACACAACCTCAGAGAACACGAGTTTGTTGCTACTTGAAAATTCTGACACTACTGTATGCACAAAACATCTAAAAAATCGATCGAATCGATTGCTAGCGCACTCAGCTCACACACTGAGGTCCAGAGTTCGAATCTCCTCCGGTGAGGCTGGAAAACATTAGGGACATGTTTCCATAAGACACCTGCTGTCCCTGTTCACCCATCAGTTTAAAATGGGTACCTGGGAGTTAGTCGACTGGTGTGGGTCATATCCTGGAACAAAACTGACTTATTTTGCCCGAAATGCTCTACATAACAAGCGGCTTTCAATACAGTAGTACATATGTCATTGATGTCAGCTAGGCCTGTATACCTTGTACACGTACTTGTAGAAATAAAGATAGTACATGTATTATATTATTATTATTAAGTCTGGGTATAGTGTACAGTCCGTAGTTTTTCAACGGCTACAAGTGATACAGCCTCCCACACTATTTTATTAGTACTAAGCATTGCGTTGAAAAAGCCACTAGTCTGCAAGACATCTCTACTGTTAACTCTTAACCTGCCAAAGGGTCTACAATTAATGTGCTCTCAGTGCTGGCAATTTTGAAAAAAAATAAATAAAAAATTTTTTACCTACCAAAAAATTCTCCCTGATTTTAGAAATGTAATAAGAAATAAATGAGTGAGATCTGATTAGCTCTTATGAAGAAATTATGGTTGGAATGAGGCATTCATGACACTGTTATGGCAACATGAGTCCTTGCCACATGAAGATGCCAGTTTTTTTTTTTAATGATTTTTTCCAGCTTTTCCTAATTATTTTTATAGATCATGTGTTTTATAACTACAGTATATCTGTTATCATATCATATTTCACTTATATTTATTGCTCAATGACTAATGTAAATGGTATTTATTGGCCAGGGCCACTAGCTGTGAGCTGAACCCTTACAACTACAAATAGGCAAGTACAGTGCTCGGTTGGTAATGCACTCAACTCATACACTGAAGTTTGTGGTTCGATCCCCAGTACAGGTGAACCATTGGGGCATGTTTACTCAAGACACCTGCTGCCAATGTTCATCTAGCAGTAAAATAGGCACCTGGGTGTTAGCCAACTGGTGTGGGTCACATCCTGGGGACAAAATTAATCTGATTTTCCTAAAATGCTCTGTATAACAAGGGGCTATCTATATAGTATGTCACTGATGTCAGCGAGGTCTGTATGAGCTGTATCATGTACTTGTAGATTATTATTATTATTATTATTATTATTATTATTATTATTACTGTGCACACCTACAATGCACCCTTGTTTCTTATGGTGTAGGTCTAACCAGGCCAATCATGACCATTCTGGAGGTCCTAGAATTTTGGAATAAATTTATGTCACTGGTACTTTCCTAGCTGACAAATTTATTTCATGACTTTGCCAAAGATTGTCATGAAGATTGGGGAAGGGCAAAGAAGACCGCAGACAGAGCATAGGCTAGGTGAACAAAGACTGCAAACCTCACTCAAGGAGAAAGATCTTGGGGTGACCATAACACCAAGCATGTCTCCAGAGGCACATATCAACCAGATAACTGCTGCAGCATATGGGCGCCTGGCAAACCTGAGAATAGCGTTCCGATACCTTAATAAGGAATCGTTCAAGACACTGTACACTGTGTACGTCGGGCCCAAACTGGAGTATGCAGCACCAGTTTGGAACCCACACCTGATCAAGCACATCAAGAAGTTAGACAAAGTACAAAGGTTTGCAACAAGGCTAGTTCCAGAGCTCAGGGGAATGTCCTATGATGAAAGGTTGAGGGAAATTGGACTGACAACACTGGAGGATAGAAGGGTCAGGGGAGACATGATAATGACATACAAGATACTGCATGGAATAGATGAGGTGGACAGATACAGGCTGTTCCAGAGAGGGGACACAGAAACAAGGGGTCACACTTGGAAGCTGAAGACTCAGACAAGTCCCAGGGATGTTAGGAAGTACAGTGGATCCCTGACCAACGGCGGCATCGACTAACGCCCAATTCATCTAACAGCGCTCTTTGGCGTAAAAATATTGACTCTACCCACGGTGAAAAACTCATCAACAGCTTTCGTCCTGAATGTGTCCATGCGGCCGGAGCTCAGCCTGAGCGGGCCCAGCCACTCCAAGACTAAGTGTGCCAATGTTTACAAGCTGTTGCGGTCGATTCCACATGTACCTGCGATATATTTTGTATTATTCCAGTGAATTTAGTGCTTGTAACCGCTAAATAAGCCACCATGGGCCCCAAGAAAGCTTCTAGTGCTAACCCTGTGGTAAACAGGGTGAGAAATACTATCATACCACGGTCAGCTGCTGCTGCTGCACTACCTTCAGCTGCTGCTGCACCATGGTCAGCTGTACTACTTGAGGATGTGGAGAGACTGTTGTTGGTGTGGCTGATCGAGGATACCGAGAAACAATTAACCCCAGAGAGTTAGCCACCCAGGATAACCCAAGAAAGTCAGTGCGTCATCGAGGACTGTCTAACTTATTTCCATTAGGGTTCTTAATCTTGTCCCCAAGGATGCGACCCAAACCAGTCGACTAGTAACCCAAACCAGTCGACTAACACCCAGGTGAACTGAAAAAAATGCCTGGAACTAGTGCTCATATTGGTGAATTTAAGGCCAGCAAAGGTTGGTTTGAGAGATTTAAGAATTGTAGTATCATACACAGTGTGATGAGGCATGGTGAAGCTGAAAAATTCCAACCCCAACAAGTGTTTAATTGTGATGAAACAGTCCTGTTCTGGAAGAAAATGCCAAACAGGACCTACATTATTCAGGAGGAAAAGGCACTCCCAGGACACAAACCTATGAAAGACAGGCTAACTCTCATGTTTTGTTGTAATGCTAGTGGGGATTGCAAAGTGAAGCCTTTACTCATGTATCACTGTGACAATCCCAGTGTTCAAGAAAAAAAGTCTCATCACTCAACAGTACTTTTCAATAAAGGTAAGTGTCATTTTAGTATTTATTTATGTATGTATTGGGCATGTCTCATTGTTTTCTGTGTAGGGAAATGTATATTTCATGTAGAAAAAATTATTTTGTTTTTAATACTTTTGGCTGTCTGCAACGGATTAATTGGATTTCCATTATTTCTTATGGGGAAAACTAATTCGACTAACAGCTAATCTGACTAAAGGCTAGCTCTCTGGAATGGATTGAAGCCGTTGGTCGAGGGTCCACTGTATTTCTTCAGTCACAGATTCGTCAGGAAGTGGAAAACCTAGCAAGTGACATAGTGGAGGCAGGAACCATACATAGCTTTAAGACAAGGTATGACAAAGCTCAGGAAGCAGAGAGGGGACCTAGTAGTGATAAGTGAAGAGGCGGGGCCAGGAGCCGAGTCTCGACCCCTGCAACCACAATCAGGTAAGTACAATTAGGCGAGTATACACACACACACACACACACACACACACACACACACACACACACACACACACACACACACACACACACACACACACACACACAACGACATGACGGAAGGAATAGACTCTGAGGTGTCCCTGTTTGCAGATGACGTGAAGTTGATGAGAAGAATTCATTCGATCAAAGACCAGGCAGAACTACAAAGGGATCTGGACAGGCTGCAGACCTGGTCCAGCAATTGGCTCCTGGAGTTCAATCCCACCAAGTGCAAAGTCATGAAGATTGGGGAAGGGCAAAGAGACCGCAGACGGAGTACAGTCTAGGGGGCCAGAGACTACAAACCTCAAGGAAAAAGATCTTGGGGTGAGTATAACACCAGGCACATCTCCTGAAGTGCACATCAACCAAATAACTGCTGCAGCATATGGGCGCCTGGCAAACCTCAGAACAGCATTCCGACATCTTAATGAGTCGTTCAGGACCCTGTACACCATGTACATTAGGCCCATATTGGAGTATGCGGCACCAGTTTGGAACCCACACCTAGCCAAGCATGTAAAAAAACTAGAAAAAGTGCAAAGGTTTGCCACAAGACTAGTCCCAGAGCTAAGAGGTATGTCCTACGAGGAGAGGTTAAGGGAAATCAACCTGACGACACTGGAGGACAGGAGAGAGAGGGGGGACATGATAACGACTTACAAAATACTGAGAGGAATTGACAAGGTGGACAAAGACAAGATGTTCCAGAGACTGGACACAGCAACAAGGGGACACAGTTGGAAGCTGAAGACACAGATGAATCACAGGGATGTTAGGAAGTATTTCTTCAGCCACAGAGTAGTCAGGAAGTGGAATAGTTTGGGAAGAGATGTAGTGGAGGTAGGATCCATACATAGCTTTAAGCAGAGGTACGATAAAGCTCATGGTTCAGGGAGAGTGACCTAGTGTCGACCAGTGAAGAGGCGGGGCCAGGAGCTTGGACTCGACCCCTGCAACCTCAACTAGGTGAGTACAACTAGGTGAGTACACACACACACACACACACACACACACACACACACACACACACACACACAGTGTCAGTGAAGAGGTGGGGCCAGGAGCTGACTCGACCCCTGCAACCACAAATAGGCGAGTACACACACACACGCATGCACGCGCACACACGCGCATACACACACACGCACACTCAGTCTGAGAAATACACCCCTCAGCATATATATCCTGTAGTATAACAAAACATCTAATATATTTAGATAGTTTGGGTCAAGCTAGTTTTAAACAGGTACTCAGGGACCAAAATGTATATAAAGTGGAACTTCGGTTTTCATTTGCCCTGGTTTTCGTCGAATTCGGTTTTCAATGACTTTTTTTTTGTCAAAATATTGTCCCAGTTTTCATTCATCACCTCAGTTTTTGTCCGCCGTACCAGCCATGTCAATCTGCCCGCACGCACACAAAGCATTCCACACATGCGTTCTAAGTCAGTTTGACTTTGTTTCTCGTCAAATGAACATTACCTTGTGCATTCACATGAAACATTTCGTAATAATCCATTGTTTTTTGTATTGTTTATTGAGCGCAACTGCTAAATAAGCCACCATGGGGCCAAAGAAAGCGAGAAACATGACAGAATTCAATGGTGGTAGAGGGTGGTAGGGATGGTGGTAGAGGGTGGTAGGGATGGTGGTAGAGGGTGGTAGGGATGGTGGTAGAGGGTGGTAGGGATGGTGGTAGAGGGTGGTAGGGATGGTGGTAGAGGGGGTAGTGATGGTGGTAGAGGGTGGTACTGATGGTGGTAGAGGGGGTAGAGATGGTGGTAGAGGGGGGGTAGAGGGTGGTAGTGATGGTGGTAGAGATAACCTCTCCTCCTCGCCGTCTTCCATATACCAGCAAGTCTTCAAAAAAGGTAAAAGTGATTTAAATGTTCATTTATCCATTTCATTAGTGCTTTATATTTATTTATCATTGTTTTCTGTATGTAAAACTAGAGTTATTCTCAATAAAATGTATTTTTTGTTAATATTTTTGGGTGTCTGGAACGGATTAATTGGATTTGCACTATTTCTTATGGGAAATATTGCTTCAGTTTTCGTCGAATTCGGTTTTCATCAGACTCTCCAGAATGAATTAAAGACGAAAACCAAGGTTCCACTGTAATATTGTTCACAAGTAGTGTCCAGAATATCTTACCTGCAAATTTTATCAAGGTTGGGAACCAAAACCAGTATGGTGTTAGGGGAAAGTCAACACAATTTTGTAGTACCTACAGTTGGTGGTCAGGCCTCAAACACCATTTATTATACAGCAATAAAGGAGTGGAACAGATTGCATGAAAATGCCAAGGTCTGAACATTAAAGATTCTTTATTTAATCATGATATAATGTTTGTACAGAGGTAGGTAACATTTAGGTGTGCACACAGAAACTCCCTTAGTATGCAGAGCACTTCGGGCAAACTTAAGCCTATCTTAACACTAAAAAATGCAATAATTAATCGATTGCTCAGGAAGAGAGCTTAAAGTACCAAATGAATGAAAGTAGAGAGACTTTTATGGGTTATTCTACGTAATTTACACTATGTATGATTATAGTACTTGTGTACCTGTGCCTAGAAAAACTTATTAAGCTGGTTTTCTATATTTAATGTTGATGCAAGTTTATTTAGGTACAGGTACACAAAAAAATACAGTTACATAAATTATCATACATGGCAATGTGTGTAGATTACCTAGGATAACCCCAAAAAGTCAGACAAAATGGCTTATTTCCACATAAATGACTCAGTTCACCTTAGTCTTACTGCACCTCTTTTTATTGCAACTGATTTTCACACAGCTGACTCACTTAGTTCTATTAATTTTTATAGTTATAATCATGACTGATTTCTACTGTCTCTTTTAGATAGGCTGCTATTAATATTACAAGGACAACAATGGAAATGTCACAGACTTATTTTAGGGGGTTTATCCTACCTAATTGATACATGTTACTCTGTATGATCATAGTAATCACCTAAAACTGGAATAACTCTACTTGTGTAACTACCTAAATAAACTTAATGGATACAAGTCATTGATTTTTTTGGGTGCTATCCTAAGTAAAACAATTGTAATCAACCAAAGATTGTGTAATTGTACCTGCATAAACTTACTTTTAAATACCAAAAAAAAAAAAAATGAAATATAGAACCCATCTCATTAATATTCGCTGAAAACAAATTTCATTATCTCTATATTTTCTATTATCTTTTTGTACACGAATCAATAAAAAATAACAAAATTCCACCTTTAACACTCAGTAGCTGAGTGTTAGAGCTATTTATTAAAAAAAGATAATTTTTAATAGTACATCAACAAACACTGAACTTTCATCATTTATTTTAAATATCACCCATTACATAAAAGTAATTCGTTTGGGAACATTTAAGAGTTAATTTGGTTAGGTAGGAGGATAAATAAGGAAAAATATAACTTAGTTATGGAGTTAATCATTTAAGGTCTTTTGAATGCACGGATTAATGAGGAAATTTACCTGTACATCATAATGCATGATGAGTAATCCACAAAATAAAGATTTAATTAATGATGCAAATATATGTATATAGTAATGATATATGTATACACATGGAGAGATGTATATACCGTGGGAAAGTAATGTAGTGAAGATAATGATAGATGTGGCACCGTTGGACGAGATCCAAGGTCGACCTCCCTGCCTCCTCCTCCACTATCATCCTTCCTATTGTCTTCCTCCGTGTTTCTCAACTCCATAAATGGCTAGAAATTACAAATAGGCCAGCAGGTGGGAGAAAACGTCACCCCGGGGGTAAAGGAGTATAGGCATGCATGGTAAATGGTGTAAAATAGCGAGAGCGAGCACTCCCCTGTGGCTGAAAATGGCGGCTGGCCGCCATTGTTGGTCCTCCGCCATATTTCGGTGCCATATTTAACATGGCTGCGCCCAGGCCTTCATGGCGGACCCCACAACAAAAAAACCCCCCAACCCCCAGCCAAAACAAAACCCTAATATAACAAATCGAGGCAAAACAGCCCAATTGCCCAGCAACAGGGCCCTTATCGATCTTTTGCCCAGAAAGAAAAGGCCCCGACGGCCCAGAAAGAAGATAATTTTAAAAGACAGGAGACTTGTCCCACCGCTGACTCCTTCAAAAAATTTTTCGTTTTGATGGGATTGTTAAGTTCACCTTCGTCTACCCGGAAGACACAGGTGAGGAGTTCCCCCCTAAAGTTGATTGCCTGTTTTGCCCCCACTTTTGTCCCACATGGCGATGGTGGTAAAAATACCCATTTCCCCGTTACTTTTCTGCCCTTTTTTATGTTTTTAGACGGTCTGGCGAGGATTCCACACATATTCTTTGTCCACTGGCATGGGTTTTCGTGGGAATTTCCTTTTCCCCCACCCCTCCTCCGGGGTTTTGGAAAAAAATTTTCTTTCCCGCCCCTGGTCGGGAAATTGTTGGAGGGCTATGTAGGCTCCCGTCGAATTTTTCTATCGATTCTAGGGCATATCCACGGTAGGGCTTCTTTTTAAACCTCCTGGATCTCCGGTGCACTCCACCCCCTTTTACGAAGTGGAGGAAAGCCATTTTCCCAGCTCACACCACGTAAAAAAGGAGTAAATCACCACACTTTGCACCACCACCTCCACCAACACTATTGCCAGTTGTCCATTCTTACTCCAACACGGTCCGCGCAGCCCCACCTCCACCTTCCTCAACTCTCACCATTATTTACACCTAAACTCACCACCCAAACGTTAAACCTCGCCACTGAGAACGTTTACTGACATGATATCTAAACTGGGGTTCCATCAAAGTGGGGAATTAGAGTGGTTTAAATGAGAAAATATTAGTAACATGAACACTAGGTAGTGACCGTCCAGCTGCTACCCAGAGTTGTATGTTGAGCGCATGACGTCACACCGCGGGAACTTTGACTCACTATAATAATAATCATAATAATTATAATAATATCAAGCAAGTAAATAAGTTTATTTAGGTAGAGGTACACATACAGTTATACAAAGTATCATACAAAGTAATTTTTATTATTATTATCATACTGGCCGATTCCCACCAAGGCAGGGTGGCCCGAAAAAGAAAAACTTTCACCATCACTCACTCCATCACTGTCTTGCCAGAAGGGTGTTTTACACTACAGTTTTTAAACTGCAACATTAACACCCCTCCTTCAGAGTGCAGGCACTGTACTTCCCATCTCCAGGACTCAAGTCCGGCCTGCCGGTTTCCCTGAACCCCTTCATAAATGTTACTTTGCTCACACTCCAACAGCACGTCAAGTATTAAAAACCATTTGTCTCCATTCACTCCTATCAAACACGCTCACGCATGCCTGCTGGAAGTCCAAGCCCCTCACACACAAAACCTCCTTTACCCCCTCCCTCCAACCTTTCCTAGGCCGACCCCTGCCCCGCCTTCCTTCCACTACAGACTGATACACTCTTGAAGTCATTCTGTTTCGCTCCATTCTCTCTACATGTCCAAACCACCTCAACAACCCTTTCTCAGCCCTCTGGACAACAGTTTTGGTAATCCCGCACCTCCTCCTAACTTCCAAACTACGAATTCTCTGCATTATATTCACACCACACATTGCCCTCAGACATGACATCTCCACTGCCTCCAGCCTTCTCCTCGCTGCAACATTCATCACCCAAGGCTCCAGGCGGACATCAACCAAATCTTTCAGTGGGCTGCAGAAAACAATATGAAGTTCAACGATGAGAAATTTCAATTACTCAGATATGGTAAACATGAGGAAATTAAATCTTCATCAGAGTACAAAACAAATTCTGGCCACAAAATAGAGCGAAACACCAACGTCAAAGACCTGGGAGTGATTATGTCGGAGGATCTCACCTTCAAGGACCATAACATTGTATCAATCGCATCTGCTAGAAAAATGACAGGATGGATAATGAGAACCTTCAAAACTAGGGAGGCCAAGCCCATGATGACACTCTTCAGGTCACTTGTTCTATCTAGGCTGGAATATTGCTGCACTCTAACAGCACCTTTCAAGGCAGGTGAAATTGCCGACCTAGAAAATGTACAGAGAACTTTCACGGCGCGCATAACGGAGATAAAACACCTCAATTACTGGGAGCGCTTGAGGTTTCTAAACCTGTATTCCCTGGAATGCAGGAGGGAGAGATACATGATTATATACACCTGGAAAATCCTAGAGGGACTAGTACCGAACTTGCACACGAAAATCACTCACTACGAAAGCAAAAGACTTGGCAGACGATGCACCATCCCCCCAATGAAAAGCAGGGGTGTCACTAGCACGTTAAGAGACCATACAATAAGTGTCAGGGGCCCGAGACTGTTCAACTACCAGCACACATAAGGGGGATTACCAACAGACCCCTGGCAGTCTTCAAGCTGGCACTGGACAAGCACCTAAAGTCAGTTCCTGATCAGCCGGGCTGTGGCTCGTACGTTGGTTTGCGTGCAGCCAGCAGCAACAGCCTGGTTGATCAGGCGCTGATCCACCAGGAGGCCTGGTCACAGACCGGGCCGCGGGGGCGTTGACCCCCGAAACTCTCTCCAGGTAAACTCCAGGTAAACCCATGCTTCACACCCATATAAGAGCGTTGGTAAAACTATACTCTCATACATTCCCCTCTTTGCCTCCAAGGACAAAGTTCTTTGTCTCCACAGACTCCTAAGGGCACCACTCACCCTTTTCCCTCATCAATTCTATGATTCACCTCATCTTTCATAGACCCATCTGCTGACACGTCCACTCCCAAATATCTGAATACATTCACCTCCTCCATACTCTCCCTCCAATCTGATATCCAATCTTTCATCACCTAATCTTTTTGTTATCCTCATAACCTTACTCTTTCCTGTATTCACTTTTAATTTTCTTCTTTTACATACACTACCAAATTCATCCACCAACCTCTGCAACTTCTCTTCAGAATCTCCCAAGAGCAGTGTCATCAGCAAAGAGCAACTGTGACAACTCCCACTTTATGTGTGATTCTTGATCTTTTAACTCCACGCCTCTTGCCAAGACCCTCGCATTTACTTCTCTTACAACCCCATCTGTAAATATATTAAACAACCACGGTGACATCACACATCCTTGTCTAAGGCCTACTTTTACTGGGAAATAATCTCCCTCTTTCCTACATACTCTAACTTGAGCCTCACTATCCTCGTAAAAACTCTTCACTGCTTTCAGTAACCTACCTCCTACACCATACACCTGCAACATCTGCCACATTGCCCCCTATCCACCCTGTCATACGCCTTTTCCAAATCCATAAATGCCACAAAAACCTCTTTAGCCTTATCTAAATACTGTTCACTTATATGTTTCACTGTAAACACCTGGTCCACACACCCCTACCTTTCCTAAAGCCTCCTTGTTCATCTGCTATCCTATTCTCCGTCTTACTCTTAATTCTTTCAATAATGACTCTACCATACACTTTACCAGGTATACTCAACAGACTTATCCCCCTATAATTTTTGCACTCTCTTTTGTCCCCTTTGTTTTTATACAAAAGAACTATGCACACGAAAATCACTCACTACGAAAGCAAAAGACTTGGCAGACGATGCACCATCCCCCCAATGAAAAGCAGGGGTGTCACTAGCACGTTAAGAGACCATACAATAAGTGTCAGGGGCCCGAGACTGTTCAACTGCCTCCCAGCACACTAAGGGGGATTACCAACAGACCCCTGGCAGTCTTCAAGCTGGCACTGGACAAGCACCTAAAGTCGGTTCCTGATCAGCCGGGCTGTGGCTCGTATGTTGGTTTGCGTGCAGCCAGCAGCAACAGCCTGGTTGATCAGGCTCTGATCCACCAGGAGGCCTGGTCACAGACCGGGCCGCGGGGGCGTTGACCCCCGGAACTCTCTCCAGGTAAACTCCAGGTATGCTCTCTGCCAATCCCTGGGTACTTTACCCTCTTCCATACATTTATTAATTAATTGCACCAACCACTCCAAAACTATATCCCCACCTGCTTTTAACATTTCTATCTTTATCCCATCAATCCCGGCTGCCTTACCCCCTTTCATTTTACCTACTGCCTCACGAACTTCCCCCACACTCACAACTGGCTCTTCCTCATTCCTACAAGATGTTATTCCTCCTTGCCCAATGAAAAGCAGGGGTGTCACTAGCACGTTAAGAGACCATACAATAAGGTGTCAGGGGCCCGAGACTGTTCAACTGCCTCCCAGCACACATAAGGGGGATTACCAACAGACCCCTGGCAGTCTTCAAGCTGGCACTGGACAAGCACCTAAAGTCAGTTCCTGATCAGCCGGGCTGTGGCTCGTACGTTGGTTTGCGTGCAGCCAGCAGCAACAGCCTGGTTGATCAGGCTCTGATCCACCAGGAGGCCTGGTCACAGACCGGGCCGCGGGGGCGTTGACCCCCCGAACTCTCTCCAGGTAAACTCCAGGTAAACACGAAATCACAGCTTCCCTATCTTCATCAACATTTAACAATTCCTCAAAATATTCCTTCCATCTTCCCAATACCTCTAACTCTCCATTTAATAACTCTCCTCTCCTATTTTTAACTGACAAATTCATTTGTTCTCTAGGCTTCCTTAACTTGTTAATCTCACTCCAAAACTTTTTCTTATATTCAACAAAATTTGTTGATAACAGCTCACCCACTCTCTCATTTGCTCTCTTTTCACATTGCTTCACCACTTTCTTAACCTCTCTCTTTTTCTCCATATACTCTTCTCTCCTTGCATCACTTCTACTTTGTAAAAACTTCTCATATGCTAACTTTTTCTCTCTCACTACTCTCTTTACATCATCATTCCACCAATCGCTCCTCTTCCCTCCCGCACCCACTTTCTTGTAACCACAAACTTCTGCTGAACACTCTAACACTACATTTT